GGGTTCAGGGAGCTGTCTCCAGGAGGGGGCTCAGGGCTGGGGTGCAGGAGGGGTGCAGGCTCCCACTGGGCAGTGTTTACCTTGGGTGGCTCCCAGGCAGTGGCGCAGTGGGGTTAAGGCAGGCTCCCTGCCTGCCTCAGCCCTGCGCATAGGCACCGACTCTGTGGGTGCTCCGGGGCTGGAGCATCCACAGGGAAAAATTAGTGGGTGCTCTGCACCCACCGGCAGCCAAGCTCCCCGCCCCGCTCATGGCCCAGCGCTGCTCCCAGAAGCTGCCAGCAAGGACTTCCTGTGGCCCCTGAGGGTGAGTGCCTCATATGGCTCCTCGCGCTGTCCCTCCCTGCAGGCACCGCCCCCACAGCTCCCACTGGCCACAGTTCCCCATTCCCGGCCAATGGGAACTACAGGGGCAGTGCCTGCAGGCAGGAGTGGCATGCAGAGACTCTCTTCCCCACCCCACACCGGGACGTGCCAGCTGCTTCTGGGAGCGATGCAGGGCCAGGGCAGGCTGAGCCGCCGGACTTTTAGCGGATGGAGATTGCGATCGACTGGCAGAGGCTCCGCGATCGACCAGTTGATTGTGATCTACAGGTAGGTGACCACTGTTGTACAAGTACTGTATTTGTCATACTGGCTAGTGATAGTCCTGGGGCTAGTAGTCAGGTACATTTTCAATCCCCATAAATATACATGTAAGATACAAACAGAATAAAAGATATAGTATAAAAATTTTATCTGCATTCGTCTGTATGTCACATTAAACATGCCTTTTAAGAAGCTCAGAAGTTTGGAACGTTAGAAGCAGTTTAGGAAACAGATTAGCAGGCTGAGGGCAGGTGAAGTATGTGACAGTTAAATGCAATTGATTAAATGCTTCTATCACTTGGAATTATATAAATCCCATCTTGCCTTTCTGAACCAGCCTTGAAAAAGCTGCCATTTAGCATACATACGTACCCATTAAGATGTTATTAAATCATCTTAAATAATACGTTTAATTGAAGTATTAATATTGAGAAGACTGGAAGAACCTGTTTTTACACACACAAACATTTACAAGCAGAAAGGAACAAAATGAAAATAAGCAGGAATATTTCAGGGGTAAAACCTGGATGCCACTCTGAAACTATTGTTTCATTACTGTCATTTGTTCTTTGGCTTTATTTACATAGTAGCAGATCATAGAATCATAGAATATCAGGGTTGGAAGGGACCTCAGGAGGTCATCTAGTCCAACCCCCTGCTCAAAGCAGGACCAATCCCCAATTAAATCATCCCAGCCAGGGCTTTGTCAAGCCTGACCTTAAAAACTTCTAAGGAAGGAGATTCTACCACCTCCCTAGGTAACACATTCCAGTGTTTCACCACCCTCCTAGTGAAAAAGTTTTTCCTAATATCCAACCTAAACCTCCCCCACTGCAACTTGAGACCATTGCTCCTTGTCCTGTCCTCTTCTACCACTGAGAATAGTCTAGAACCATCCTCTCTGGAACCACCTCTCAGGTAGTTGAAAGCAGCTATCAAATCCCCCCTCATTCTTCTCTTCTGCAGACTAAACAATCCCAGTTCCCTCAGCCTCTCCTCATAAGTCATGTGTTCCAGACCCCTAATCATTTTTATTGCCCTTCGCTGGACTCTCTCCAATTTATCCACATCCTTCTTGTAGTGTGGGGCCCAAAACTGGACACAGTACTCCAGATGAGGCCTCACCAATGTCGAATAGAGGGGAACAATCATGTCCCTCGATCTGCTCGCTATGCCCCTACTTATACATCCCAAAATGCCATTGGCCTTCTTGGCAACAAGGGCACACTGCTGACTCATATCCAGCTTCTCGTCCACTGTCACCCCTAGGTCCTTTTCCGCAGAACTGCTGCCTAGCCATTCGGTCCCTAGTCTGTAGCTGTGCATTGGGTTCTTCTGTCCTAAGTGCAGGACCCTGCATTTATCCTTATTGAACCTCATCAGATTTCTTTTGGCCCAATCCTCCAATTTGTCTAGGTCCCTCTGTATCCTATCCCTGCCCTCCAGGGATGTATAGGTTGCTCCAATGAAGTTTGTGTCTGAACTGCAACCATTATGAAAGACTGGGGGGAGGAAGACAGACAACTCCCCGCACTGATTCTGTGGCTGTGTAAGCAGTGCATCTCTGTTTCAAAGAATTCTTTTCCATGTATGTTAAGGACAAATGCAAATTAGATTTGACTATGTGACATGTTCTCAAATACTACAGAACTTTATCCTTCAAACTTAAAAGTGTACAGAAAGATATTCCTATTCCAAATGGAGCTGGGTTTTATTGTTTACAGTGTACTTTATATACACAGAATACTGTACAGGTAAGGTTACTTTGCTCTGCTTTTGACCAATTTTTGAGTGGAAAGGATAATTTGTCAATGAAGTGTGTTCTTGGAGTACTCAGAAGTAACCTAGTATACCTTAATATTCCATATATATTCCAAATATAGTGCTTCCCCAACACATGCTGTAACCAATAGCAATGAGTCTAAATCAAACTTTCCAAATGATGCTGAAAATCCAATGGAATTTTAAATGTCACCTTTCCCTCTTTCAGGAGAACCATGAAAAAGTACACTTTTTCTACTCACTACCCTTTCTAAATCCAATGCAAATATTTAACTAAGTGCAGCTGAGAGTATTTAATTAATGCTCTCTAGATCTGAGTGATCAAGAGCTCAGCAAAATAAGTGTTGATGCACTGATCCAAAATGAGACATTTAAGAAAATTAGTGCAGGAACCTTAAAAAGGATGATTAACTTCTTTATTTTTAAAATATGGTTTAACTTTCATATTAAACATCAGAAATAAAAGGAAATTAAGATAATGTAGTGCATGTCCTTTTATAGGATTATAGTGTATGCTCAAAAAGAAAAGGAGTACTTGTGGCACCTTAGAGATTAACAAATTTATTTGAGCGTAAGCTTTCATGAACTACAGCTCACTTCATTGGATGCATGAAATGTATGCTCAATATTTTCTAGAATTTCACCTTCTCAATTCAGCATTTTTATTGTATGTACGGCATAAGTCACATTAAGGGGATTCTAAATTGATTGACAACTGAGAAACACTAATTTGGCATTGAGGGCACACAAAAATAGTAACTAGATTACATTTTGGAATCATTTGTTTTGGAAGGCAATTCTAGTGGGTCACCTACTCCAGTCCAGCATCATGGCAAGTTTGATTTATATGTCCCTAAACTTCTTGCAACTGAAGCCCATTACAACTCATTCTGTGCTAACTGGAAATTAGTTTGGTTGTTGGCACTGATAACTTAGGCCTTTGATGTCATACCTATGCACAGCTGATATGTTATTGCAAAAATATATTGAGATCAGCAGAGTCAGTGTATGTTTTCAGACCACGCTTTGGGGAAGCGGAACCCAGAGAGCATGTGTGATCAACATCTACACAATCGACTATTAATAGTGTGTCAGGTAGGTGGGCAGAGTCTGGAAGAGTATCACTACCTTTCCCCCCTCCAAATCTCATCCCTGCATATATGCCACAATGTTTAGACCCTTTCATGGGAAGGATAATATACAAGGCCTGATCTAACTATTCTTTAATACTAGGTGCAACTGCAATGATTTAAACATAATTTAAGCAGTTAAAACTAGACAGGTTTCAAAACCACTTCAAGATTTTCTGCCAGATCTGAACCACACTTACATGAATCATTTTTAAAGAAAAGTGTTTTCTGATCTCTACTAGCACATAATAATTATTCTTAAAACCTGTTAAAATGTAAATTATACAATGTTCTCAAGTAGACAAGTCTCAACCAGGACATTTTTTTTTTGGCTTCTGGCAACACTCACAGTTAGGGCCGTCTGCAGGGGAATGTGAGACCTGGGACAACCCCCCCCCCGGCCCTGGCCCCCCTTCCCCCCCAAGCCTCTGCCCTGCCTCTTTCTGGCTTCCGCCCCCTCCCCGAGCGATGCCAGGAGCCAGCGCGGCAGAGCGGGTCCAGGTTGCTCGCTGCTGCCGGCACCAGACCCCCGCTAACCTCCCAGGCCACCCTGGACCCCGCATCCTGAAGCGCGGGGCCTGGGGCGCTTGCCCTCGTCTGGCCTATGGACGGGACGGCTCTGCCCACAGTTGCTGCTGTTCCCGATCATACTGCAGCCAGATATTGTTCCTAAAAAGGAAGCCATCTGGAGACAAGTTATTTTAAAAAAAATCCTAAAGCTTAGTGCTATGATGCTATCCAAGGCATTCTTTGTAGGCAGGAAATGTAAACAAAACCAAAACAATCACGTGGGAGATGAGGAATAGGGATAAAGAGGTTGGAACAAAAGCAGGAAATAAACATGCTATACCCTCCACATCCTCAAACTCAGACACACACACACACCCCAACACACCTTCTGCGACCTAACAAACCCAACAGGGCCAAAACCTTGTCTTCATTACATCTGCAATACAGAGCCTCTCATCCTGTCCTAAAACCCACCATGACCACTCAGAGACCCCTCTCTTACCCCAGATTCCACCTCAACCTCAGCCCCCATCCCATCACTCCACAACCCTATTGCCAAAAAATATCCCTCTCCGGCCCAACCACCTCCCCCAGCATAGCAGCCTTCCACTATTTCCTTGCTACTATTTCCCCTTTCCCCTCCTCATGTCAACAACCCTCCCTCACACCAGGGCACTGCGGTTGTTTAAAGCCCCAGACGCCGGAGTCCAGGGATTACATGAGAATCCCATTACCCCTTTACAGAGCAAAGGGTGCATTTCTAGCTGCTTGTGGCGAGGGAAAAAGATTGAAATCAGAGCCCAGTGCCCTCTTCAGGCTCCGAATCCGGGGAGCAGAGGCAGAATTTTTTAAATACCATGGTTTCCTACCCATCTTATTGGGGGAAGGGGAGAAGAAAAGAGTCTGGTGTGATATTTGAACTCTCAGGGCCGGCGAGTTACTGCCGCCCCTCCCCTTTGCCGCCGCCGCCGCCCCTCCTCGCCCCGTCGGTACCTGTTTCCGGGAGCTCCCCGGAGCTGACCCCGCTCCGGGGCAGCAGCATGGGGAGCAGGAAGAGAAGCGGGGCCGCCGGCCGCATCCTGGTTCGGGGCGCGCGGGCCGCACCGGCCGAAGGCGCGAGCGGGAGACGGGCTCGAGCGCAGCTCAGGCGCCAGCCTCCGAGTCGCGAGGAAGGGGGCGACCGCCGCGCCCGGTTCTAGTCACGTGACTGGACGGGGCTGGGCGGCCGGACTGACTCTGCGCTGCCGGGCCCGTCTCCGCGCGCCGCGTTGCCGCAGTGCGGGGAGGGCTCTGCGCCGGCCCGGCCCGGCCCCCCAGTACACGCTGGAAAACAACACCCCGCCCTCCCGCCCGGTTAACCCTCAGCTGCCCGCAGCCCAGCGCGTGTCACGGGTGCTCTCCTTCGACGCAAACAGCCCGGCAGCCCCGGACGTGCAACATGCGTGCGTCTGTCTCACCCACCCAGCCACAGAACCAGAGCAGGGGAGGGTTGGCAGAGACCCCGGCTGCTGCTAACACGTCTCTGCGTGCCGGGGGGGGGGGGTGCAGCTTCAGGTGCTGCCCTCACCCTCAGCACCGTTTTCACAGCTCCCACTGGCCAGTTTCCGGGGCGGTGCTTGCAGGCATAGGCAGCGCACGGAGACCCGATGCGCCCCCCGGGACACACAAGAGACTTGCCAGCCACAGCTGCTTCCGGGAGTGGCATGGGGCCATGGCATGCAGGCAGCCTGCCTGAGCGCTGCTGCGCTGCGCCGCCCGCTGGGAGCCACCTGTGATAAGCACCTCCCAGCCAGAGCCTGCACCTCGCACCCCCTTCCCAACACCCTGCCCCAGCTCAGACCCCACTCCTGCACCCAAACTCCCTCCCAGACCCCACACCCCGCTCCTGCACCCCAATCCTCGGACTCAGCCTGGAGCTCCCTCCGGCACCAAACTCCCTCCCAGGCCCTGCACCCTTTCCATTAATATAGTAGAAATGTGTGGCCTGTGACGACTTACCAAAGTTCGTGGAGTGGCCACCCCTGCGAAAATTATTGCCCAGCCCAATCTAGTCCAACCCCCCTGCTCAACTCCAACTAAATCATCCCAGCCAGGGCTTTGTAACCTTTTCAGTTACCATGTGTATAACCTCAGAGCTTTGTAACATTCCATCACATGATCAGGGAGCCTGTGAACAAGGGAGTGTGTGTGGGAGATAAGGCAGTGAGAACAAGGGAGTGTTTGCGGGACTGGGCAGAGAGGAACTTCAAGGCGAAAAGAACCCAAAGGGAGGAGCCAGTTGTGTCTGATGTAATCTGCCCTGAGAAGGCAATCACAGGGAGCTGTAAAGAAAAGAAGAACCTGGTATGCATGAAAAGAAGGAGGTCTGGGAATGCTTCTCAGTAACAGACACAGAAGGAGAACTCAGTGTACGTGACAGGAGCCTCTCAATTCCAGTAAAAAAAAGAAGGCACACACACAAGCCCCCTGCTTCTTGACCTGCTCGCCAGCCCAGATCCGTGACCGCAGGCGGACACACCAGATCTACTATGCTTTGGCTTCTCGGCTTCCTCTGCTGTCTCCAGTAACTCTCTGCCTGCGTGAATTTGTGGGTGCATGAGGGTATGAATGTGTGACTGCATGAATAAGCTCCATCCCTTTTCTGTTTGATCCAATAGCAGCATTTAATAAAACCAATGTAAGTGTAACCCTGGGTTGGTTTCTAGGGAAATTGAGATAACACTCAAACTTCATTGCACTGCGACCCCATTCTGATAACAAAAATTAGTACGTGACCCCAGGAGGGGGGACTGAAGCCTGAGCCCGCCTGAGCCCTGCTGCCTTGGGTGGGGGGAGGGGGGGGAGCTAAATCCAAAGGCCAAGGGCTTCAGCCCCAGGCAGGGGTCCTTCAACCTGAGCCCTGCCACTCAGGGCTGAAGCCCTCAAACTTTGGCCCCAGGCATTGGGGCTCGGGCTTTGGCTTTGACCCTGGGCCCCAGCAAGTGTAACACCAGTGCTGGTGACCCCATTAAAACGGGGTCCCGACCCACTTTGGAGTCCCGACCCACAGTTTGAGAACTATAATCTAAGGGGTAAAATCCTGGCCCTATTGAAGTCAATGGACTTCAACAGGGCCAGAATTTCACCTGAAGTGTTCAGTAAAATGTTTCAGAGGTTGTCATATTGCATTTATATTCTCTCCTTACTCGTAATTGGGAAAGTGGAAATTAAAAATAGCAGTCATACAGTTTGGGGAGAATAAATATATATAATTTTACTTACAAGTCTAACAAATGTATGGGCTAAATGTTGACATTTAAAGAAGTAAAAATGAATCAGGCTTTCAAAAAGAATTACTGGCATATGACAAAGGAACAACACTTTAAAAATAAATATACAGGAGAAGTAAGACAATCAGTATAATCCAACACACTTATTTCTATAACTAGAATCCTGAGTCTTATCACACTTCTTTCTCCAAGCCCTTGTATTCAACAGCTCTTGTAGTCTACCAGAGTGAGCCCGGAAAACAATGAACCAAATGTTCAATATATCAAATATTAGGCCTAACTGGTGAACAAACTAATGGATCCATCACTCCATTTTGGGGTCCTTAAGAAAGACTTTGGGGAGAAAAATTGGCTACTGAAGCAAGCTTCACTGCTATGGCTGTCACCCCCACTGTCTCCTAGAACTCCAGGCCTTTATCATCCTGGTCCTGAGAAATGTTCCGATCATATTGGGGCCAGAGAGAAACACAGATAACATCACCACTTTTACCTGTTCTGGCTGAATCCCAAATACCACCTGAGATGAGAGTGTGTCAGACTTCCCTCCCCCCCCTTGTGTGTTCCTTTCCCATCTTATTTCTCCTCTTTCCTCACTCCTTTTTCCTTCCCAGCCATCCTTTCACATCCCACTTCATATTCCCTCTCCCTTCCAGTTGACATGCCCCCCCAGTCAAGCTCATGGCACTGCAGGGGTTTAAAAGACACAACACATTGTAATACAGGGATGTTTATCGAAATATTTGATACAGAAGAAAAGGCAATATAAAAAGTACTTTGCTTCACAGTTTGAGCAATGGCCTGAGCTTTCAGCTACCTCACTAATTCATGAGGTATATTTAAAAAAGTATAGTTATTTTAAGGCACTCCGCTAGTTTTAATAGACTGTCAGCACTGTTTTTTTTCAGAAGAATTACTGCAAAAAGTTATTATTTTGCAGTATATTTTGTGCATAGCTGCAGGTGATATAAAACAGAATTTAAAGCAAAAATAATACTCTATTTTGGCATAGAATATGCAGTGTCCTCTCAGGGCTGCTTATATAAGTAGCATTACCCTTCCAGTCCTGCAGCAGCTGGGGGGCAGGGAACATTCTGGTGAATAGCATATCTTGCTGTTCTGCCCGTTGCCTTTTTGAACAAGGCCCTTCTCTGCCTTTTGGTGGGTGACAAGTATCAGGGTAACGTTCTCCAACATAAGGACTGCATACAGAAGTGCACAATAACTAACCTATACCTTGCAGCTCCCACCTTCCAGCCCATGCAAACCGCTAGCCCACCTGCCTATGCAGATCCCCCACATTACCAGCACACATAATTACTAACCTGACCACTGCTGCCCACCCATCCATCCAGTACACCACCATTCTGGGACTCGAACAGGCTTTCTATGCAAAGGAAAAGTAAGGTGGAAAGCATATTGCCATTTTCAAGCTCACCCCACTAATTACCAGATATCAGCACTCTGAGAGTCCAGAACTCATTTAATTCCTAAAGAAAGAGAAACAGGAAATAGAACAGAAAACTGCTGCAGCATAAACAAATAAAGCAAAGGAAAAAAAGACAAGAATCTCTGATATTCCATTCATATCACATTCACTCAGTCATATACCACACGCCACGTAAGAGTTGTGTCAACATCAGAAACTTCTTCAAGGTAAGGTAAAAAATACTCCTCTAACTTATTCAACCCCATGAAATCCTAGATCCTGTCACTAAATGACAGGTTTCAGAGTAGCAGCCGTGTTAGTCTGTATTTGCAAAAAGAAAAGGAGTACTTGTGGCACCTTAGAGACTAACGAATTTATCTGAGCATAAGCTTTCGTGAGCTACAGCTCACTTCATCGGATGCATTCAGTGGAAAATACAGTGGGGAGATTTATATAAATAGAGAACATGAAACAATGGGTGTTACCATACACACTGTAACCAGAGTGATCACTTAAGGTGAGCTCTTACCAGCAGGAGAGCGGCGGGAGTGTGGGGGGAACTTTTGTAGTGATAATCAAGGTGGGCCATTTCCAGCAGTTGACAAGAACATCTGAGGAACAGTGGGGGGCGGGGGGGGAGGGAGGGATAAACATAGGGAAATAGTTTTACTTTGTGTAATGACCTATCCACTCCCGTCTCCAAAATTGAGGGAAAAAACATTTATCATTGTTGTCATGGAGACTGGAATTAGTACAAAAACTACTTGTTCTTTTTCTCAGTTCCCCCAGCTCCTACACATGATGTGCTGCAATCCCCACAGACCTGAATGTTATCAGTCTTAGCATACCTGCTAAATCTCCAGGTCAAGAAAAGGAAGACAAGAGATGAAATATCTCAGGAACTTGTGAATGCAGCCAAAAATAGGGATAAGAAGGCAGAGGATTGGAGGCAAGATCTCCTTGCAGAGAGGATCAAGGACAGAGAATTGATGAATGATAGCATTGAGAAAGACAGAGATATGCAGAAACAGCTTATGGAGTTGATACAGAAGCAGACAGTCTTGCTGGAGAACATTTTGAGGCAAAGTTCCCACATAGCACCACAGCCCTAACCCAGCCATCCTTCAGCCCATGGAGAACAATGCACAGTGGGAGTAGCAGTAACCTTCTCCAAGTGCCAGCCACAGGCACTTCCTTCACCTTTCCAGAACCCAAGACAATAAGAAGAGTGAATACTGGAACCACAGCTTGACTCCTGCAGCCACAGTTGATGGTTTCTTTCCTCTCCATTCTACATACCATGCTAAGGACAACATGCAGCAATGTTTGTGACCAGTACAGCACAAACATACACCTGCCTAAAAGTTCTGAGTGTATATCATATCTGAACTATTGTGTTCCATAAAGTTTGCACTATTTTATGAAGCTCCCTGGAAGTGCGGGGACCACCAGAGCCTGGACCATGGCTATGCCTCCCTGCTCTGCCTCAAGGCCCGTTCCCACTTACCTGAGGCCCCCCAACCATACTCCTGCCTCTCTGTTCCCTCCCCCCAAGGGTCCCACCCACTGCTCATACCTGTCTGCCCCCTCC